AAAAATTGGGCGAAGGGATTCGTTAATTGGCCCCAGCAAAGACAGATTTCATTGGAAGTTCGCTCGTCTATCTGAATGCACACTTCCTCAGCCCGGCGTCCTTCGACCCTAGAGATGAGCTTTTGTCTGACATTTAGAAATCGAGAAACCAATTATTAATAAACAAACCGTAATCATCGCTAAGCCACAGCTACTAATGGCTTAATGTCTGATAGTCTTTTTGAAGTTTCTAACTCTGACAAGGTCTATCACATAAAAAATGATCCATCCGGATCAAAGGGGGTTGAAAGCTAAAATCGAAAATTACAACTACAAATAAAAAAAATAGGTTCCCGATGAGGTTAATTCACGAATCGCTTCCACCTGACGCTTCATACGAAAGCAAAAGTTCAGATTATTGAAGGATTATTCGGAATCTGGCCTTTAATTACATACAAGACGATTTTCTTCGTGAAAGACAAATTACAAGAAAACATTTTGGAACCTAAAAAGCATAATTACAGCAAAACAAACTCTTAGAAGTGGCTTTATATTGAAATATGTCGCCTATTATTTGCTTTATTGGAAGATTAAGTATAACTCAATCTAGGTAAAATCAAAGGCAATTTCAAGCAACTATGAATACTTCATAAGCATACGGTACCAAATAAACATGCTAAATCTTCATTGTTAAGCACAACTTACTTATAGTTACAGTCTTATTCTTAGTTCACAATGAAGACATTGATTTAAAATAGGATAACAATTTAGTAATGTCAGGTATTCAAATTGAGAGAAAAGGAATTAAATGCTTCTGAAGTGACAATGGCAGAAATAAATAATAGGACCTAGATTGGGAGTGCCTATAAGAGGCGACAGAGATAAATAAAGGCTACCATACACACTAAGCATAAGGATAGACAGAGCAAAAAGAGCTTGTTAGTCGCAGAAAATGAAGTTAAGAGTTTGTAAAAGATTTTGCAGAGTCCGCAATGGAGTATATCATATATATATATATATCCTATATAAATCACGTAAATGGGGTAGGAATCTGAGCATTTGCACTAATTATACCAACAAATAGTATATTGCAGCTTGAATAACCCAAAATAACCAACTAGAAGCTGATAAAAACATGAAACCTAAGGTCATGGTTGCAAAATGAGATTGCGTCAGGTATGTAAATAAGGATTAGGTATCAAAAGATGAAATTTGGCAATAAGATAACATATATTTGACTACTCATGTTGGGATACCTTTCATTTCGTTTAAAGAGGAAAGTGGAATGGATACATAAGTTGGTTTCCCCGGAGGTTGTGGGGAGGTTACTTCGGAGCTGTAGTTGTATATTTGTGCGAATAGGCCCTCGGCGCACCGCCCTGCGACCTCGATGAATCATTGCTGTGTTTTCGTCCGTTATCTAACAAACATCGTCAGAGCAGGACACCATGCTTAACGATAATTCACCAAAAACACGAAGGCAAGAAAAGCGGCCGGCTTCACACTTACTTACTTCTTATAGTCCAATTTGGTCCAATTTGGCATCTCATGTTTTGGCTGGATGTTCTATGCTTTGCTATAGATGAACCGTGAAATGGGTGCAATTGAAACCGAACAGCTGCATCATCCCCTAAGACACCCATGCCTTTGATTCTACAATGTTACCGCATGTGATTGCGTCCCATTTCACGTGTTGTGTTAGTGCATTGCTCTTGAAATGAGTGTGATTTGAGAGTCAAAACCAAGTTCTAGCATAATCAAGCCTCTTCTTGCTCGGTAGTACTTCCCGTTCCCCCCTTACTCTATACCTATCCAACAGTCACAAGTAGTTTCTGCTTAACTTCCTACACTCATTCCTTATATTCAGGGTGTTGGCTGTTTTTTTGATTTCTATCGTCTCTCTAATCTTTCTTTATCGGCATAGTCTCCATATCCAGCTAAGCATTTGGCATTAGATAAATCTATCTGGTGTCTTGTGCGAGCCATGCATTAGGCCAATTCCGAGTTTCGAACCCACATACCCTAGCAGGCTGTTTTATGTTCGGATAAACTCTTATGTATGGGTCTACAGGCCTCTCCCACACAGGCACTACCACATTAAAACAAAATCTTGTAACAGCCTGATCTGGAGAGCTGCTACTGATGTCTCACCTCAGTAATTCGCCCATCTTCGACAGATTACACGATGGCATCAAAAGGATCCTGGTAGAGTGATCTATTTTTTTATCTAGCCCTAAATATGTATTTCCCTTCATTCTGTTTGACAATATTCTAAAATAGTTGCCAACCAGCCCTCCTGGATAATTATTCTCAATCAGAATTCGCCTTAGTCCCCTCAGTTCCTGGTCCCGATGTTTAATATATGCAAGACTCAGGCTCCTTATTATCATAGACTTCAAATCTCCTACTTCAACCTCATACGTGTGGTTCAATAAATTCAAAAGGAAATCAGCATTTGTGGGTTTCCTATACACGTCTTGACCTAATCAGGTCCCGTCTTTGTTAGCTAGGACATCAAGAAAAGATAAATCATCTTCCTTTTCTAACTCGATGATGAATTTCGCATTCTCGTCGAACCAAGAAAATTCTCCAGGTTTTCTGTTCTATGCTGTCAAATAGCAAAGTAGTCTATATAGCAAACTAATAATTTAGGAACTAAAAGTGCCTCATGAAATAAACGTTCCTCAAATTGAGCCATGTAATTATTTGCTAAACCTCGTGTTTGTTCGTATAATCTACCATTAAAGGTAAAATATGTACACTACATCGCTAGGTTGATCATTATCATTATTGACCAGTTACTTAACTTCGTGATCATAAAAATCTTCGCATGTTGATCTAGTGTGGATTGGAGGGCCTGTATGGCATCATCTATAGGGATATTAGTAAACATAGACTCAACATCAAAATTTACCAGCAAATCCCAACTTTCTATTTATGATCGTCGACTAAATAAAGGAATTCATAAGCATTCCTAACCGAAGCCTTCCACGTCTGTGGCTGTTGGATAGGATTAGAGGGGAAACGAAGTATCCCTGAGCAGTAGAAAGATCAGACTCAAATCTAGTTTTGACTCTCACATCACGCTCATTTCAATAGCAATGCATTTATACAATACGGACGCAATAGAATGCAATCACATGCGGTAACATTACAGGATCAAAGACATAAGTATTTTAGAAGATGCAGCTGTCCTGTCACAATTTCACCCGTTTCAAGCGTCATCTGCAGTCGCTTCACATGTCGTCCGCAGCCACTTAAATTAACTTTTGAACAAACATTTAGGCAAAATACAGAATATCCAACCAAAGCAAGAGATGCCTAATTGGACCAAACTGGACTATAAGAAGTAAGTAAGTTTGAAGCCGGCCACCTTTCATGACTTCGTGTTTTTGGTGAATTATCGTTAAGTATGGTGCCCTGATCTGTCGATGTTCGTAACACGAAGGACAAAAGCCTAGCAAAGATTCATCAGTCACACGGCGGTGCGCCGATGTTCTATTTGCGCAAATCTATAATCACAGCTTCAAAACAACCGGCCCAGTTTCCGGTGGAACCAAGTTACGGATCCCTTATAATCGCCTCTGCAAACGAAGTGAAAGGCACTTCAAAATCAATCTATTAAGGGACTCTTCGAGACCCAGTTTTCTACATATTTGACTATTCACTAACATTGAATTTTTTTCCATAAACACAGAATTAACATGGCCAGTGAGTAGAATAATTGATAGCTGAAATGTAAATTAGCAGCGAAACCAAAAATAAGTTCATCCTTCATAAAATACTCAGACATTAACTCTACGTTTGTAAACACAGATTTCAAAGGCATTAGCAAAATAAACGCCGTAGATTCAACTCACCTTCAGAAATGCAACTCACAGGTGAGTTGAAATCAATAATGTTCAAATGACATTTATCACTTGTAGCTTGGCGAAAAAACACACTCCGGCCGGGATGTCCTGTATAAATAGAGATGTTTCCGACCTCATGTGGATGGCCGTCAGAGAAATAGACTCCCGTCTGCAGATCGGTAGGCTGTGGTGGTGGCGGGCAAACTTGTGAAATATCAGAAACTGACTGGAGCTGATTGTAATGTTTTTGAGGGGAAACCTGTAGGTGTGATTGCACTTCTTTGGTATAATGGCTCTCAGAGAAGTGATAGCAGGAGCCAGTGGTTCGTTGAGGCCCTATAGAAGAATATTCATCCACTACAACCACCGAAGGCGTTGAAGAAGCCAAAGGCGTTGCTTGATCCGCAAAATGATCAGCTGAACAGATATCAACAGAAAATAATGGAGCGCCGTAGTAGAAAGTCATCTTGGACATTGGTTATAAATGATAACTAAGGGATAATCACTGGAATATTAGAAACTTC